ATAAATAATATAAACTAACATCAAATAAATAATATAAACTAAACTAAATTATCAACTATTTGTCCATTGTGATTTCCAATTCTTTCATATTAAAGTTCAATTCATTGATTCCAGATGTATTATTTTTATATAATTTACAATTTTTTTGATTTACTTCATTGCTTTTATTCCTTAAATTGCATTTGCGATTGTCAAGACCATTGCGATTGATATGATTGACTATTTTCCATTCAGGATGTAATAATCGATGGAATCCTTTACCACTAGTATTTGTTACATAATGATTATTTTGTTTATTATTATGTATTTTCCAAGTAAAATTTCGAAAAAGTTTATAATTTTTGATATCACATATCATAGTTTTATCATGATTAAGTTTGACTTCAAGGTATGCAATACCCTTTTCATTTTTAATAACACATATTTGATTTTTAATTCCTAAATTGGTTTTTCATCCTCCGAACCAATTTGAGGTTACAGATTCCATTTTTGTATAAGTTAAAATCAAAACCTGTATATTTATATTTTTTATTAATTATAGAGTTATTTTTAGAATCGCCAGTTTAAAAAATGAATCAATCAGGTTCATTTTAAGTATTACCGGTAGATATAAAAAAAAACCAAACTAATTTTAAAAAAATTTTTATTAATTAATAATTTTAATATTTTTTTTGTTGGTTTTTATATTTTTATATCCTTATTTGAAAACTTTCTTGATTATTTTTTAATTTTTTTTTTATAGTTTAATAATTTATAAAATAAATTCTTTATTTATTAAAAAAAAAAAATAAAATACTATTTTTCAAATTGAATTTTAAAATATATTTAAAAAAAAACTTTTTAAATTTTTTATTAATTAGGTTCATAATAATAAAAAAAGTGCTTTAATATTTTATATATTGATTTTAAACTAATAAAATAAATAATCACAGTTCAAAAAAATAAAATTTAAGAAAAAACGAAAAAAAAATGTAATAAAAAAAAAAATTTTTTTTTTTTGTATTTCATTAAAAGTTATAGAAGCTATTAATTGAATTATCTATAACTTTAATATATAGAGAAACCTCTCTAAACGTATCCTCTGTAAATGCTTCTTATCTTTAAATGCACGATTAAGATTGGTTCCACGTATATAAAAACTCTTGATAAAATTACCCCTCTAAATGTACGCCCTCTTTGGATGCACATTTTTTTTAAAAAATTTTCGTATGGTCCTGAGGGTAGAGAGAGATGTTATCTATATACTATCAAACCAAACTCCAATTATACATAATTTTTATAGATAATATCAATTTTCTTATTGCGTAACTTCATAGTGTTAATAATTTGTCATTGATTTCTTTTTGATATCTTTTTTTGTTTCTTTTTATTTTATTTTATACGAGTAAGTCTAACCTTCCGAAAGGATTATTCAAACTAATTTTATCATATAGTTTTATTATAAAAAGGGATTTGTAAAAAATTAAGTAAGTAATTTCAAGGAATAAACTAAAAATAAATATCGATCAATCAAGTTTACAACACTACTCCAAGTCGTTGATATCACTCTTAGTTGCTCAAAATGTCAAAAGTAATTAGACCTTTAGGAAATCTTGAGCGACTCTTTATAACTCGCCAAAATGTTCATTATTACACAAATGTAGCAATCACAGTAAAATATCAATGGGATAAACTTAAAGCTTTAAAAGAAATCAATGAAAATTCATTACCTGCCGAACAAGGAAAGGAAGCTGTTAATAAAGGTGGACCCCAAACAAATTCGAACGTTAAGATACTTCCAGATTCTCATCAACAAATACTACAAATCCTATATCCCACCCTCATTGCTCTTATCCAAAAACTTCCAGCGCTTTCTGTAGCGGTATCAGGTACCAAAACTTCGAAACCTCTGTTAATTCAACTTGAGGAAATCAATATATTGGACCTCGTCACTTTTACTTCAATTTCATCTGCCGATGAGCTTGAGAAGGTTTTGGAAGAGCAACACGATACTGGGTTTGATCAAGAAGATGAAAGCAAACCACTTTGGAGAATTGTAGTTGGAGTTCATAATAAAGATAAAAATACCCCGATAAATGAAAAAAAAAATATTAGTCAAAATGAGGGAGAAAATTTTGATTTTTCAATAACATTTGTTTGGCATCATGTACTTGGTGATGGAATGAGTTCTATTGCAATTCACGCTGCATTCTTTGAAGCATTAAATAAAACTCTCCACTCATGTTCAACTACACCACAAGACCTCTTAAACCCACTTTTCAAAATCCCTTCCGATTCCCCCATGCCTCTTGTCTGTCCACCCCTTGAGCAAAGACTTGACATTCGACCTAAGTTCTCGCAAGTATTAGACGAGGCTGGTGCGCATTACTTAGTTCCTGATTTTCTTAAAAAAGTTATTCTCGGAAAATATTGGGCGGGAGACAAGCATGCCCGAGATATCCCGGATTTTCGTTCCAGGATTATGACATTTTCTTTGATGCCAGAAGAGTTTGAGGAATTAGTGGTGCTAACAAAGAAACATGGGTCAACAATTAATTCGGTAGTGCATATCGCCATGATTTTTTCTGCATATCGTAATTTATGGAGTGACGAGAGTAAAAATGATGATAAAGAGAGATTTTTGAGAACCGAATCGCCTATATCACTCCGACCTTATGCGACACCGCAAATACCATGGTCAGACGTGGGAAATTATGTTACCGAGTTTACATTTGAACATAAACTTAAATCATCGGAGCGAAACTTTTGGAAATTATGTCACATCTATAGATCGAAACTCTTATCTAGTGTCCCGCATGCCATTGGGCATGTAGGAATGTTAGATTACCTGGAGAGTGATAACGATGCGTGGGAAACTTACCTCAAAGATAAGATGAATTCACAAAACAATGGAAGAAGTTATTCGCTAGGGTTGTCGAATATAGGAAGGTTTCCTATTAATCAGGTGCCATCCTCTCTTCTTAAATGTGATTCTCAAGAAGACATACTCAAAACTTCTGACATAACTAATAATGGCAATGGTGGTGGTGGTGGTTTGAAGATAGTAGATATGATATTCACCCAAGCCCCTTTTACAGTTGGAACTACAATTCGGGTAAATTGCTTGTGCTTTGGTAAAAAGTTGGGCCTAAGTGTAGTTTATCAAAAAGGTGTAGTAACGGATGACAAGAAAATTGAGAAGTTTGGCGAAGGAATTTTGAAGTGTTTAAGAATTCTACTCGCGAAAGGTGAAATTGAAATTGACGAAAAGGATTTATAAACAGTATGTTGGGCGTCAAAAAAAAATTTTTTTTTACTATATTATTATTAGGGAACTAGTTTGGTTAGTTTATATTTAATTAGGTTAGTTGTTATGTGAAAGTCTATGCAGATGTTTACAATAAAGATGTATGATTACTACATTTTTTTTTTATAATATCATAAAATTACACTAGTTAAAATTATATCATTTGATAGTCAAATTATTGTCAAATTTGATAAATGTAATAATAAAAAGATTGATTAATCATTTTCAATTGCTGCCACTTGACATTAAAAATATTAGCAAAAAAATTTGATACAAAATCTAGCAATATTACAACAAAAAAAAAAAAATTTGCATACTGTGGTAAAAAAAAATTTTGGATATTGTAATGAAAAAAATTTTTTTGTATACTATGGTAAAAAATTTGACAAAAAAATTGATACTGTGGCAAAAAATTTAACAAAAGTTATAAATCCAGTATTAAAATTTAGTAAATATTTAAGAAGTTTAATAAATTTCATTAAATTTATTAAAAAATTACAAAATTAATTAACTAACTACTTTCCTATTCCTTCTCTTCCACTTGCTTTTCTTTTTCCTTTAAAGATTTCAGATTGACTCTTTTAAAATTAACCCTAATTAATTTTACTTTGCTAAATGTTTTTTAAAATTTTTTATTTTTTTCTTCTAATCTAATTGTTTCCCAAATTTTATCTATTCTTACATTTTTTCTAGTTTATTCCTTATTCTTTAAATACATTAATAATTTTTTATATTTGATAACTTTTTGTCTTTTGGATTTAACTATCAATTTTTTATTCTTTCCTATTTTTTTTTCTTGTTCATATTCTAAAATCTTTTTTAAATTGTATACTTAATTCAGTAAACCTTTTAATAGTATCATATTATAAAAATATAAATTATTATAATATTATTTACAAGTCAACTGAAATACTTGAATTGATTTTAAATATTCATCCAAATATTTCAACAAATTCTTTAACTATAAGTAATTATAATTAATATTCAATATAAAATACTTTGTTGAAAAATATTTCTTCAAAATATTAACTGTAATCATATATATTTAATCTTCTTTTAATAGAGTTTCTTGAATCAATCTCATTTTCTTCATGTAAATAAACATTTGTTTCTTTAATTATACCAAGTAATTCATTTTAATATTTAACAATTTTTTTAAATTTTTATTATAATAAGTGATTACACATTTTTAATTCTTTAAACCCTTTTCTTGATTATTTGTTAAAAATTAATACTTTAAACTAATATAAATACAGAATATTATTAATCTTACTTTGTTTAATTAGCTATTTGTATATAAGTGATAATTGCCTACTTCTAGTTTTTTAGTTTTTGCCTTCCTATATTTTTTTTCGTCAATAATAATGCAAAATATTTAATCATTCATTTATTTGCTTTTGTGAGTGATTAAAATATGGAACCATAAATTTTATTAATTTGAATATTAACTTTTGTAATAATTTTTTATTTATATTATTTAAAAAAACTTTATTTACACTTAATTTATATTTGTCAGAAATTGTTTTCATTAAGATTTTTATTTCTGTTCTCACATTTTCTGATTTCAGCTTATCTTCGGTAATCAATTTTACTAATTTTGTTTTTTTACTATTTCTCCTAAATTGAGTTCTTCAATGCTTTTTTAAACTTAGTAAATTTTTAAATTCTAATATATTGGCTACTTTAAATTCTAAAACTATCATAGAATCAAGTTCAGGTTTTACAGATTTGAGCTAATCCATTTTCTTTTTTAAATCTTCTATTTTATTTTTTGGATATTCTGATTTTTAGAAAAACTTGTTGTTAATATATTCCATTAAGTCTAATTGTTTTACAAATTCAGTATTTTTTCTTTTTAGATTTTTGACTCATGTATATAATTATTATTATTTTTTTTTTTAACCCTTTATCAAGCCGGTTATGAGTACTTTATTAAACAATTATAGGCTATAAATTATGTATATAATACTAAACCTAAATCTCTAACTAACTTACTTATCAAAGTTTTTATTCAAAACTCTAAGTACAACTTCAGAAATAATTTATTACTCTATTAGTAGTTTAGATAGAAACCCTTCATAATTCTTTGTTTTCTAAATAAATCAAATAATTAATAAAGATAAATTTTAATAATTCAGCAATAATTTAATCCTAGTTTTTTCAATATCTTTCCTGATTTAAGTTTTGGATAGCAATTAAACTTTTGACATTTATATTTATACAATTTCAAATACTAATATTTCAGGCAATGTAATAAATAGCCTTTTTCTAAGCAATTTGGCATTATAATAGAAATTAAAATTTCAGCACCAGGTATTACTAAATGAATTATTGCCATTTCTAATACAGTTGATGTAAAGAAAGTTTGCAATAGCAAGAAAAATTATGAAGATTGTGAAGGTAAAAGTGATTATTTTCTATAAAAATTATGTCCTGTTAATTTTTTTTATATAGACATTTTAGATATATTTATAAAAAAATATTAAATTAATAAAGAGTTATTTAAATAAATTTGTTTATATTGTTTTAATACAATTTGAGGTTGTATATAATATTATACTATTTATTATATTATATTATAATTTAGAGTTATATATAATATTATACTATATATTATTTATCATATTATACTTATATTATATTATAATTCAAAACTATTTAATATATTAATCACAACTTTGCCATTTTATGTTACTATTTACCAATTTTCAAAAATGTTAAAAAAATGTTTAATTTCAACCTTATTTAATAAAAGTTTAAGAAAAAATCTTAAAAAAATAAAAATTACTTGTAACTATAATAAATACAATAGATTACTTATTGATAGTGATCACAATTTTGATTCAAATCTGATTGATCTGTAAATCAAATACAAATTGGATCAAATCAAATTTCAAAGTTTTTAATCTGATCAGATTTAGATTGAATCAAAATTTTAAATTTATAAAATTATTAGATTCAAATTAGATATGAATCAAATTTGAATAGATTCAAATCAAATTCAAATCAAACTTGATATGACTCAAATTAGATATGAACCAGTCCATATAAATTGTTATATAATTATTTAATTTCATTTATATCAAACTATCTAGAAAATTAAAAAAAAAATTTTTTTTAAAATAATATAAAAGGCAAGTTAAAAAAAAATTTAATACTTGCTCTTTTTTATAATTTTTTAAATATTTATTTATAATATTATAGTTTTACTATTTAATTACTTTCATTATATTCTTTGCTTTTGCTAATTTATTTTTTTTAAAAATAGAACATAAAAACTTATTTGATAGTATTCAATTTGCATATTATGAAAGTAGCAGTTTAATTA